TGAATTTTCACGTTTAAATTTTCATTTTTCGTCAATTCGTTTACAAGATAAAGCCTCCCAAAGTTGGGTGGTTTTGGGTGGTGTTTGTGTGTTATAGGTGTATGTTAGGTGGTATTTACACACAAACACCATATAAGTGTTGTTTGATAAAAGAATCACCCTGTATAATTAAATAAAAAAGTCAATACCGTGCTCAGTGAATCGATCTGTATAAATAGGCGGTAGGTAAGTACTGGTTCGAACAGAGGAGCGCAAACTATAGTGAGCTCGCAAGCGCTCTTCGCAGAAGGCCAATACGTCTTTGCCACCGGACGCGAGTTAAATTTATTTCCGAACGTTACGTGATTTATATCGCCGCACGTAGTTATATGTGTTTTATATTATGTATATGCACTCGCCGATGTAGGTAAAAAGTAAAAGAAAAAATTCTTCTTCCTTTCCCCGCCCCAGTCACCATTTTGTTCGTCACCTTGTCTGTAGCGTGTTTCACGAACTCTAATATTATACCGTGGTTATGTACTCCACGTCGCATCAATTTTCAATTAGCTACTAACAAATTATCCTTTTTTTCCCGTTCCATACTATTAATTTATTGCTGTTCAGAATGTTCAGATGTTTGATATTTTGTACAATGTACATTATACCTATAGTTTATAATATAAAATTAAATTGGCAATATAATACTAATCACGCAGAGTTAATTACTTAACGCTATCCAATTCCAATATAATATAATATATGTATAATAAACTACAATCTCACATCCTTATGGCGATTTCGATTTAATTATTTTGCCGCAACTTTCTCAACGGCTGTTATTTTTACGTAAGTTACAAATTAATTTTTTGAATATTAAAATGAACACTATTAACATACGAGGGTTATTTGAAACTAAAAACTGTTTTTTTTTTTTTTTTTAATCGAGTTTTTATATTTGTGTAGTACAAAATCTGTTATTTATTCTAAAATAATTCTAAAAATAATTGTTAAATTAATCATCTGATCATTTGATACAATTTTGATACCTAGGGAGATCAGCTTTTGTACACCCTTCTCGAACGCCTTTTCGTTCTAATATGTTACGGGGAAAAGTCGAAATCAGAATGACCTCTAAAATGCTCACGGCTAATTGGGAAAAATGTCGTATTTGGACAATTTATAATTAAAATAACATACGTGAAAATAACTTATGTGATGACTTACTTATATGTTATAATATATGAGGTATTGAATAAAAAAAAGTTAATATAGTGTACTCTGCAGGTGTTCAGACTTCAAATAGGTACTTACGTGCAATAATTTGAAATTTGTTTGTACCCATCTATTCACGTTATATTTTGTAACATCGCACAATAAATATAACGTTTTAAATTAATTAAATTAATATTTTTTTTTTTAAATTAAACGATTGCAGTAAAATATCATTAATCATAATTCATAACTATAATTTAAATAAATATAAAAATAACCTCAACACAAAAATGTGGGGTTTTCATTGTTTTTACTGTTTTATATTATATACCGAGATAGTAAAAAAAAGAATACTAATTGGACCGAAAAATTGAAAGTTGGAGACTCCATAATATTTAAATTATTTATGCTACGACTGTTCCGAGCCAGACAGAGATTAGTGATATAGATGGATTTACAGTAAACAAGATATAAAATCAGTAAATTCTATAAAAACGTGTTTGGCATTGAACATTTTACATATTAAATAAAACCTCTATTAAAATTATGTTTTTTTGCCTAATGTATGCTTCATCTGTTAGTCTGYCCACCAAAGTAGAATTTATTCAACGTGTTTAAAAAGTAATTTTTAAATTAATACGTTCAACACGGTCGTATTTAATAATTTGTCTCGTTTTATGTCATCAATATTTATATTCTAGTTGTATATTGAGTATATATTATTCGTAATGAACTTATAATTATGTGCTTGAATTTTGATATTTAATCTTAAACATATTTTTAATGTACAGTGTGATAAATGATGATTATAAATAGTTTTACCCACTGAGTAACGATATCTTTGTTTTGCTGTTCTACCTGCAATTTATATGAAGAAGGTAGTTTGTCAACAAATATTTTGTCTAAAAATAATGACATATCTAATTGATCTCAAATATTAAATCTGGTCCTAGAAATTTATTCACAACATAATAATATATAAAAACCATACCTAACTATAAGGCGGGTTCTATCACTCACCAACTGAGCCGTTAACGCGTTAAAAGAGGATTGCAAACGGTCTGGTTGTTTAGGAAACAAGGAAATAAGGAAAAATAAGCATTTTTCAAGTTGTATTCATCCGGACTTTGTATGGTAAAATGCGTGTGCGTCATATAAGCGATCGCGATGTGTAAATAAAATTGCGGATATAATAGAGGTATATACTCACCCAATGTCGATTGCGGTATCCTGAGCACGTTGAGCTCGGTGAGCCCGTTGCAGTCGGCCGTCGTCATGGGCGTCGACAGCAGTTGTACGTTCCTCTTCTTCCGGGGCCGGCCCTTGTGCGCCGACGGCCAGTGGTGGCCGGCCGCCCGGGGAGGGCTGCACATCGGCTCCAGATCGCACGCCATGTCTCTGTGCTTGAGTCGCTCGAAGTCCGGCCGGCAGAAAACGGCGCCGTCACGCACACCGTAATAATCTCCCTTGCACAGGACCGCGCCACAGGCGTAACACGCGAAACACTCKACGTGGTATACGAGGTCCTTGGCCCTCATCACCAGGTCGCAAGCGCCGATACCGCCCTGACACCGGGCGCACCGTTTTATCGAGAACAGCCTGTGGAAGAGAACACGTGACGTGGATGTTTAGAATGTCGTCGTACAATCTACTATCATATAATATATTATAATACTGCAGAGTTTCCTGAACTGCAGCTGTGGTCCTCATAATAATAATATATTATAAAATAATAATATTATTATTATATACCTGCAATCATTTTTACTATAGATATGCTCTTAGAGGTTCGGTGGAGCTAAAGTGTAGAAAACGATGATTTAATTTTATACTGCTTCGACATCCATATAGCAGCAGTTATAGTTACGAATTTTGGTATATTTTATTTTTATATAAAATTCTGATCTAAATCTAATTACAATTATATTATAATTTACAATAAGCCACAAACTATTTACAATCGATACAGATAAATATTACTCTATATATATAAACATACCTATAAATAAATGATCACTAAACATTTAACTTAAGACTATTTTTAAATATGTTAACTTACTGTATATCATTACATCGTTATATTTTGTTCCATACAGAGTACCTAGGGATACTTGGTTATTGGTCAGTTAATTTGGTTCACTAAGTACATAATTGGTGTGATATCACTATTATAATATAACAATAAGTGTATTTTGTCTTTAGTAGTAGAACTAAATTCCGGTCAAAAGTAAGGAAAATTTAATAATAATAAAAAATAATTTTTTTCTTTCATTAGTTATACGAGTAGGCTTATAGTTGATATTATCATATAATTAGATAATTATAATCTGAGATGTTAAAAAATAGTTGTGGGTATCATTCCAAATCAGCGTCAATGGGCGAATATCGATGGTTAAAGACATAACATGTCCACACATATTAGGATATATCTATCGCTTAAAAATTTTATATTTTTTTATTTACATACAAAATAACTCAAATTCAAAGAAGTTTTGAACGGAGCAAAAAGTAAAACAAAATCCTAATGCATATTTTAGCAATAAACTTCATGACGTGGTAATACTCCGTCGTAATAGGTTCGCATTATTCATAATATGTACTAACGTATTCAGTAGGTTTACATGTTGTCAATTTTACACCGTATAACACGAATATTCCCGCACCACAGAGTCATAATCATAAATATTACAATATTAAGCTGGCGGCTGCATGCACCTAGTATACGTCATTATACCTAGGTATAATATAACCTTAAGATCTACCGCAAATGCGGCGAACAGCACACTCTGTTAAACACATTGTTGATCGGAGGCTGCAGGACACGTGTAAAAAAAAAATGGGGAATTTAACAGCATTCGCCTTGTGTCACGGTATCACAGGGAAGATTATCTAGCCAAAAATCAGCGATCGGATTTTGATTAGGAGACGCGTGGCCGACCATCGACGACCACGATAATATATAATTATATATTATACATAAAGGTACAGGARGAGTACACGACACCACGGCGACAACGGGCACCTGGAAAACCGGCGGGGGATGACGTCCGAAAACACCAGCTACTGCAGATAACGTCCGATCATTATATTTAATTTAAAGCCGTAAAGAGTAGGTAGGCAATGTATTAAAATATAATATTAATTCGGGATCGTCGTCGCGGAAACAATGATTATAATATCAAAAACGACAAGAGACTTGCACGTGCACGTCTGTCCGGGTGCCCCGCGGTATAATAATATATTTGGTGCGTAACCTATATATAAAAGCGACTCTTCAAAGGGATTAAGCACGCGGCAGGTAGACTCGATCCACCGCCACCGCACACGTCCGCGTATACATCGCCACAATATTATCGTATCGGTACAGATGTTTAGTGTCCGCCCGAACGGCGGCGGCGTGCGGTTCACGAGTGAACAACCCTCAAGTCGGTCTCGTTATTACCACGTGCACACACATCATCATAATATTATATATTGTATTAAATCCTGCCTGCCAGTCGACCGTTATTGAGGGGCAGAACGTGACCAACAGTCGGCAGACGTAGCCGATCTCGAAACGCAGTTCAAACTCGACGTCATCAGTAGGTGCGCTTGCGTGTTAATATTGTAATATTATTAATATCGGTGGTGTATATTGTAACGATGATGATTATTGATTATAAATATTGATGTGTTTAAACATCTCAGAAACCGATTTTTCTAGTCCCACAATACGTACCTAAGTAGCATCTGTGYATCACTAGATTCGAATTTTATAAAATAAATAATTAATATTTATAAAATAAGGTATGATAAATATAAAATAAAATCCTGTAATATTTTATTGTAGCGGAGGCGCGACGCCTTCTATACACACATTCAAATCACTTCAAAAGGCTTTGCATTACCTACCTATTCTCTCTCCCTTCATCGTATTATTATTAATCCTTGCACTTCATCAACTCAAAAGTGATACGCACGTGCGTACAGTCATTGAAAACATATTGACAGAAAATCCGATTCCATCATATTGGCTTAAAATAAATCCGTAGCGAATTAGTTTGGCCTGAAATAATGTTCATTTTATACTCGTACCAATACGATTAATATGGTGTTAAGTTTTATAATTCGAAAAATCTAGAAAACAAAATGCTTATTTCGAACACTGTTTTTGAGATTTCAAAAACGTATAATAAACGAGAAAATTAAATTTATCACTTTATAATATTAGGGTTTTGTTTTTGTCACTAAACTTTGGTGTATACGTCGCGATGTTTTTGTACCACTACGAAAAGCAACAACTATTCTTTTGTCTTAAATTAGATCTGTTTGGTTACTTTTGTTTACCATATTTTTATAAACAAATAATTACTAGGCTATTTGTTCCCCCTGCATGCAGTATAAGTCAGAATTCAACCGGAACCGGCCGCCGYCATCATGCRAGTAAATTAGGGTGTTCGCGTTTAACTATAAGTTTCCCTACACGTAATTATATTCAGAAGTAGTGTATAGTTATGAGTGAAAATCATTTTAATCATAATGACTACACTTTAGGCATTTATTTCCGGACTCTTATTCTGTCTCACTACAATGTATACTATATTGTTTCTAACAAATAAGTTTATTTTAAACTGGTAGGCAATTATGTTATTATTTTTTTCATAGTCTGCAAGTCTATAATCTATGTAGTTTGTTTAGGAAAAAAAAAATTATAAATAATTCAAAATAGTACCTGTAATAGTCTTGTTTGCAATAGATGTTTCCATGCCTAGAATAACACGTAAGTTCCGTGTCCAATGGCAGTTTACATTCGGCACATTGCAAACAACCAATGTGCCAACACATGTCCACCGCGGACAGGTAGAAACGGTCGTCTATCGATCTACCGCAACCGGCGCAACAAGATCCGTTGCTGCCGTCCTCCAGATCGGCTGCCAATCCTGGACTGTGAATATCCTTCAGCATATCCACCTACAGAACATGACCTGTGAAAATAACATACGTAACGGGTCAATAATAATTTACAATAATTTAAATCACCATACGCTTTTTAATATGAAATGACGTCTCGATTTTAGTTTGATATTTTTTATACCTCGGAACGGATTCCGAACGTACCGCCGGAACTARTTGTATCCGACCCACAGTACTCGACGTGTAAGCAACTATTTATCACTAGCGTTACTATCTATATAAATAATGATCATGAGAAAATAATTTATGTACCGAGTACCTATGTAGAACTAAAAACATCCCAAATTAAATTTATCGTGGGTATACATATTACTATATTTACTATAGTCTACGTATAAGTATTGTAATTATAGTTTATGAACGAAATATGTTTTATTGAAAAACAATAATATTTTCTTGCTTTTTTCCGTATGTGCCATATATGATGGAAGATGCAGCTCATAACAACTTTTCTTTGCCTTGTGTGTCCCAGGAATCCCAAAAAGTTGAACACCCCTGGTTCAGACGATTTGGCTCAAAACACATGGTATAATTTTTTGACGGATAAAATGTTTTGTTCGAAATGTTAGGTGGACTAGTGACAATTAAAAGGGACAATCTTGTTGTGATTGCCAATTTTCGTAATGAGTACGAACACTTGTCACGACGTTGAAGTTGATTAAACATAAGTGTTTAATGCTTATATTTAAACTAGAAGAGTGCATTCTATAATCACGATTTACTCATCAATTTGTTTAAGTAGTTAGTACCTATTTAATCAAGTAAAACGGATTAGTTGGAATGGCTTGATTCCAACATTTTAATCGCTTAGTACAAAAAAAGCTATATCAAAAACAAAAATGTATTCAACTTTATACGGAAAGCGTTGGAAAATTATTGGTGTCGATTAAATTTGAGAAAACGACCATGTAAATTGTTAATTATATTCAAACATGGTTTCCATTTTTCGAAACCTACGTAAAAAATACTAAACAAAATGCGTATTATAGCATTATAAGTAGGTATTTATAATGATATGTAATACAAAAAATAATGAACAATAATAATATTATAATCGTGTGCAAACAATTGTCGAATTTTGTAGTTCATGATATATACATAATTTATTGACAGAATTCACTAATATTTAATAATGTTTTCTCTTTTTTCAGTTTGAATAAATTATTTTCTTTTTAGAGTACCTACACACATCACTTGCAGAGCAGTAAAAGTTATATGTATGAATAACAAAACATATTTTTTTACGTCTCTTTTAATTAGAGCTCTGACAGTGACGGGTTATTTAATCTAGATCTTCAAATGTTTTTTTTGTCCCTGCCATACTCCTCTTCTTCTCTCGACACCCACCAATTTTTGCTCTTTTCTGGCCACGATTCAAAAAAACTGTAACACCAATTGCTAGACCTTCCTCTAATTACACGTATCATTTCGTTAGAAGTGTTTAAAAAAATTATAACTGCAACTTATAAAAAAAATTAATTATCGTCCTTCCATCGTGTGTCGGGTGTTATAGTAATTTGACATTACGGTATAGTGTTGCTTGTCCCCCCTCCCCAATAAGCAAGAACCTGTTAGTTTTAAAAACCACTGAGACTGGCTATAAATAACACCGTTAATGGCCCCGCAAAAACACTATGAATGGAATAGAGATGATGATTTTTTTTATTTCTATATATGAGAATATATTTTCTATTTGATGATTCACTGATTTGCGGGGATTGAAATCAATTTCAAAAACGATGAAAATCTTTCAAGAAAAGATTTTTTTTTAAATTATATTATATTCATGACTTAGATTAAAATCGAAAATAATCAAAACCGATCATTTTTGTCACAAATACTCAAAATAGTAATAATATTATAATCTTTAAATAGATACACAAATCGATTTAAAATCGTAAACTAAAAGTAATTAAAATTTAACATTCAATAATAACTTACTATTTAACTGTTACATCTCATGATATTGTTCATCGCCGCATCGATAGACCCATATTTTATTTATGTATGAATAGCAGGTGACTATTTATTATTATTATTCATTTTGATACCCCATTTCACAGACGTGCATAATGAAGCACGTGGAACGCGGTAACGACGATAAGTATTAGTTTATCGTTAGATAGAAATCAAAATTAAAACCTTAAAAATTTAGTTGAGCGTGATATTTCAGATCGAAAATTAGTGAAACAATTTTTAAAATATTATATTATTAAAAATCGGAAAACAAGTAAATCGATGTTGTACAACAATAAACTATCATAAAATTGCAAAAACAATATACTTTTTAAATTAGTAAAACATCATTTCAAAAAGCGAAATTGAAAAATTTAATTTCGATATCTGAAAGCTTTGCAAGTTTATGCGACTTAAAAATAACTTTTAGTGATTCTTGCACATAATAAGGTTCATAATAATATGAATTTTGATTTAAAACTTAAATATATCATTATAATATAGTTAAAATACAATATAATTATATTTATATTGTTATATATTTATATTGTTGCAATTTGTCGCTTCTATTACGATTTATTTATTATTGTAGAGTACAGATTGTGCCTCTGACATAGACACGACGTTATAGGTACAAATAATACATAATCTATATTCGTAAACAGAATATAGAACGACAATCAATTTACATAAAAATATTGTCTAACGATGACCGTTAACGTAATATAGAATTATTATCCCGAGCTTTATAATTTAACTGTATATCGCCTGATCGATGAGGACTATCAAATTAGTGATGAAATAATATACTATATTTGYTTATACATTTATCACAATCGCAACTGTTTATTTGACAGGTAATAACTAATTAACAAATTAAACCTACTATTTTAGCCATATGCAATAAACAGAAAATAATTTTTAACAGAAGAATTTCGCGATTCTGTTCTTCAATACACAACATACACTACGCAAGATTATTCATATTATATTATAAGACGCGCGCGTGTTTGAGCACTCTTATTTGTATAGGTCCGTTCGTTATTTTGTATATCAAGTACCGTTGTCATCGTCGATGCAATCGCATCGTACGCGCATAATAATAATACTTTTGCGGTGGTAAATCGCCATAATTTATAATCGATTGCTGCTGCAGTTGTTTATTTTTCTCTCGGCAAGCGCTATTTATTTTTTTATTTTTATTTTTTTATGATTCCCATTTATACATATAAAAATATATCCGTCTTCGGCGAGGCGGCGGCGCGTTTTGTTGTAGCGGGGTATTATAAAAAAATAAAAACGCACGCGCGCTCACGCTCACACGCACACGCTCATAATATACACTCACACACATAATATAATAAAAATACTTCGCAAGTGAAATGACCGCTCGGTATATATACCAAGCACAGAGAGAACCTGTCTTAGCCAATAAAAGCCATTGTTGCAATACGGTCGGGATTCCATGCGGGACGACCGGTTTCGACTTATTTGGAAAATTCGTCGCACAGTAAAAATCTATCTGTAGCATGTACGTTTTATGTGGAAAAAATTCTACGAGGATGGTCGGAAGAGGCGGACAGACAAAAAAAAAGTAAATTCGATGACGCACGCTGCCTTCCCCTCTTCATCCATCATAACCGGATTTTTGGGTCACAAAATGACAAAGTCACCCGAAAAGCGGTGGCCATATTATTATTATTCAGACTACTCGGATAGGCACTCGCGACAAAAATCTCAAACAGAAGTCTGCGAAACGTTTTGCATTGGGATTAGTTCAGCACTGTTTAAATCATTGAAATCGAATTCCTTTTATTCGGACAATCGTCAAGTGCATAACCTAACCCAACCATCTAGGGTAATAATAACAAAATATACTTCCAATATAAATTATATAATAATTATGGAAATCRAATCGAAAATTCACAAACATAATAATATCATTGGATTTTTTAATTACTGCATTAACTTGCGGTTAATCGTTATATGAAAAACGTAATATATTTTTATAAGATTATTTATGAGCAAAATAATCTTTGGTTTCGATTCACAAATTATATATATATACTTTTGTATGAATAAGCTGATGGTTTATAAAGATAATTTATAATATTAATATATTTTTGATCATGACCATAAAACAATCAAAATAATTATAATTTATAATTTAAATACTTCACCAAAAATAAAACTAGTTTCATTCAACATTGTAACGTAAACAATTTTATTAGTATCTATATTATATATGTATATATAAATAAATAGCTTCACCGTACATCGAGATATTTTTTTATTATACTAGTTATATCAAAATGTTCTAACTACTATAGAGGTAATTGATATCCACCATTCGTATAGTAAGTATGTATATTTTTTTATGCAATCTTAAACGATTAGCCACACATTAACTTGTATAATTTGTACATCCTTTTTTTATACAATATTCCATAATACGACGACTAATTTACCAATTTAACCCTAATATGGGTTATTCTTATTTGAACCAAGTATTATAGCGGACATGTATCACTGGTATTGATGTACGTGATCTACTATGATCACATTGCAACACGTAGCCTTAATTGTATGGAAAAGTAATCAATACTTTCAACTTAATCAATAGATACCAATAGAGTATAGGTTGGGTTAAAATCAAATTAATATGTATTCAAAATTTTTCTAATTTAGCTCTATGTGTTAAATTCTTATACTCGTTTGTACAAATCATCACGCAACGCATAAATATAGTGAGCCAATGATCCCTTAATTAATATGATTTAGTTGCCTACTATCGGTCCATCAAATTTTTTAATGAACGACTACTAATCATAATTAATGCAGAATTTTAAATCGAATAGAAAGAAACATTATTAAACATTCTAAAAATKAATATTTACTTAATCGTTAATAAAAAAAATATTAATTTGTTGGAAATATAGATATTTAAAAACTATCTGTACAAAATTATTAATATGTTGTCATTATTTTAAAATAATATTTTTATATTTATAATGTTTATAATATATACACATATATAGGCGTTATAGACGTGTGCGTGTGTCTGTGGGTGTGTGTGTGTGTACAACATTATTTTCCAAAAAGAACTTGACATTTATCTAATAAAAAGATTTGTTTGGGTAAAATATTTCAAATAGTTTAATCTCAGCATATGATGATTTATAATCTCGATAAAATAGTTATTTTTGTGTTTAAAATGTAGACTATAATAAACATAAACATCTGCATAGATATTTTTACATGTGGTTAAAATTAAGAAAATATAAAGAATTTTATTATAATCGTTTTAAATTCATTACAATATTTTTAAATCTTGTATGCTCTCACTAAAGTTTAATCAGTTTAAGTAGTTAATAATTATTTTAATATAACAGACCGTATATGTATATAGTTAACTTTGAAATCCAAATATATAATTAATTTAGATGTACCCACCTATTTTTATTTATAATAAATATATTATATTATATTATATATGTGTATAATTTCTTAAACATATCAGTATTACCACTTATTAGTATCACAAACAAAGTTTTTACCTACTACTTACATTTTATAATTGTTGTAATAAACTTAAATATAAATAAACCATAAATTAAAGATATTTTGTAATATTTTATGCAAATTTACAAATTAATCTACTAAACCATCATTATGTTTAATTATTTTAGTAAAAAATCATTGTATGTTTTTTATAAACTTATGCTAGTATAGGTTTTAATAAAAGTTACATCTCTTTTCCCATTTTTATTCTATTTAAATTTTAAACTTAATGATTTCAATAAATATTCTTCTTTTAAAACTCAGTTAGAAGAAATACATTTTTCTAAACGGATAAAGTGTAAAATATAGTATAAAAAGGGCGTGGTGAATCCGCCCTGTTAAAATCACGTCAAGTATTATATAGTATAGTATTTTTTCAAAAATAAAATGTATATAATCTGGTTAGGGTGAGGGACAATTATATTTACAGAGGGAATACTGTCGTAACTCTATATTATTCGTAATACAGATTTGTTCTTTGTACGCTGTCTAGTGTCTAATCATCCATAAATAATATAGCGTGCGGTAGGGATGAAAATTCAATATGTTTCAATTTATCTAATTTGATTCACAAAATATTATATCAATTACAAAGTAATTTACTTTTGTTTATTGACTGCAATGCATCAAGAYTATCGACTTCAACACAAAGTACAGACTATATAAAATATTTACAATTGCTATTGAATGAATTCTTCAATCAAATGCAGTACAATATATAATATTATATTATACTGCTGTATAAAATCATTTATATTTTTAATAATTTAAAATGTACTTTAAATCTACTTGGAATAATATACTTGGATATTTTATAACCTATATTATAATATATAGAACTACAATACATTTCATGGCAATAATATATAAGTGTGTATAGACTGCTGTCAATAATAAAAAATCAAGTTAAAATAAAATGTTAATTTGATATCGACCTATAGTCTTAATAATTCTTCTAAACTTAGGTGAGATTTTAACTTTATATGACTGTTGCCCGTTTGATTCAAGTGTATAGATGAATGAAAAAATAATGAATTTTTATATATTATATATTACATACCCAAACCTATATATAATAATATAATACATCTGTTTTCAAATAAAGCTTTAAATTATTAAATTTGTACAATACTTTAAAAATTATTTATATATTAAATAATTATACTTATTGAATATAGTTTCTTATTTCTTTGAAAACAAATCAAGCCTGGTTTAAACTGGATACAACAATAATAATTTAAAATTTGCATTGTGTATATTTTTTATTTAACCCTTAGTTAAAATATTAAGAGTAAAACATAAGCATTTTAAGTAATTTTGTGTACATGTACCATGAACGATATGTGCATGATGGTTACATGAATATTATTATAGAATAAAATGTACTTAGAATCTTGGATATCCTGATTGAATAAAACCATGAATAATTAAATTTAACTATAGRTACCTAAAATTCTATGATAAGAATGTTATATTAAAACATATTGAAAAACGTATTCAAATATATTGCTGGGAAAATGTACTTGTAAAAACATMAATAATCATATTTTACAAAAATCCATACACCTATAGGTAGGTGTAACAGTTAAAGCAGATATAAGTACCTATAGAACTTGAAAACAACGGAAATTCCTACAATATACATATAATGCGTAACTTTATTAGAAACGGTATGCTTGCATATTGCATACACACCGTGACATGGAAATGCGCAAGGATTTGAGGAGGCCAATGCCACCTAGGATTCTGAATTTGCATATCTCGGGATATAGCAATACCACGTTGTTATCATAGCGATGGGTGATGAAGATCAAAATTAAAACACAAAAATGCGATATCTCTGAACAAGCACAACGTTCAACATTAGCCATACTCAAATAATGGTACAGACATACAGTGCAGATGATAATACATAGTTAGATGTTAATAATAATACATTAATACTATAATATGAGTAGTAGGTACCTTCCACGGTGTCATTGTGCAGTTGTTCGGCATAAAGTCTATAATATACTATAACGAAAACATCCATGTAAACCTAATACTACAAAAGTATATATTATACCTAATAGGTGGTAAGTGGTAACGCTGTAGATAGGTACTTACCTACGTACATTGTACACTTTACAGGTATAAGTTGAAAACATTACGATTTGAACAAAACCCTGGTACCTATAATATATTATAATTTATAACACGACACGACACGATATCGAAGACTTAAATAAAAGATTATAACATGTGCTATTAAGCAAKAATTCACCGAGACCCTGCCACCTAGTAGGTCTCCTAACTATCGGCGAGTAGCGAATAAAGTGCACATCGTTATTTATTATAAGCAGCGATAACCAACGATACCTACATCAAATATTATAATGGTACAATATAGTAAAGTTTGATGGTATTTTATGTTAATATAATAATATTACCACGGTATCCTTGTGTTTTTGTCAACGCGGCGGCGGCGGCGGGAGTACGCGCCGTCCGTGCGCGATCATCCACCTACGACGACGGACTGTGCGCGCGCGCGCGATTCGCACTGTACCGACGACTGAGCGACGGCTGCTGCGGCCGAGACGGCGACGGACGTCGAGTTCTAAGCGGATAATATTTCGTGGTCGGCCAACGCGCGCTCGGACGGGCCGCGAATACGATATTACAATAACGGTAATAACATAATATTTATAATTTCAGGTGCGCGTGGCGCCGGAGAGAGCGATGGCCGAGACGGTTGCAGAAACCGTCACAGCAGCGAAGCAGAAAAAGCGAATTCCGTCGGCGGCGGCACCCACACCACGAGGATATATCGGCGGCGGCGTCGGCGTCGGTGGTTCACAGAGAAAAACGCGAATCATCAGATAACGCTCGCGCGCGTACGCCGTATAATACGGGTATGACGCGGACGACGGGGAACCCGAAGGCGGCGGTGGCAGCGTCGGCCCAGGCGCAAGCCGCGACGGCGCGTCGCGATCGCCGTCGTCGTGTGTACAGTAGGGCGAGCGGGTACGAAAAACGGCGAAAAAAAWAACGCGGTCGGCGACGGATGTAATATAATAGTAATAATAATAATATCATGTGTATAGTGGGTGGACGCGAAAGCGGTAGGGGTGAGACGAGGGGAGGGAGCGTCGCCGATGGTAAACACGCGCGCGCGCGCGCTCCCGCGTGCATACACACACATACACACTAACGTACGCACACACGCGCACATGCACACGCATACACACATACATACACTCACGTACGCACGCGCATTCGTATATACTTGTGTGTGAGTGATGCTGCACGTGTAGAGTGGGAGGAGTGTACGGGAGAAATGGACCACGCCCTCTCCGCGTCCCCCCTCGCAGAGCCGGAGACCCCCCCACTCGCCGCCACCGCCCTCACTTCTGCCCGGAGACGACGTCACCGCTCGCTTATAGGTCGGTCGTTCGGTGCGAGCGCGGCCGGCTCGGCGCGCGTATCGATTGCGTGTAGCGCGCTTCCGCAAACAGCACCGCGCGAACCCGATGACAGCGACAATAATTTACCTATCATTAAAGCGTACATTCAACCACCTACTGCGCCGAAACGCTGTACGGAGAAGCCACGATTTCTCTCACAGAAAAAACTACGCTGTTTGATGCCGATGAAAGTTGCGGTGAAGAACTTGTAGGGTACATATTGTTATAGAAGCATTGYTGCCATTCATCCCCCGGAAACGACGACGATCACAATAATAAAATTGTAGTTTGGGCAATGTACGATCGTGCATAATATTATAGTTCTTATTATTATCAATTATGTGTAAACGTTGATGGTTGATAACGTTTTTATACCAGTATAAACTAAATGATAAAATATTATGAATAACAAACGACGGTCGAAAAAAAAAAAAAATTGAAAACCCTAAATTTATTGTTGTTAGACGATACTGATAAAATATTAACTACGATTTCCATAATATACTCGAGGTCTTATATAGTATTATATTTTTATAGTTAAGTATATATAATAAGTTACATTACGTATATAAATATATAATAGTGAACAGAGAATTTATTTTGGACAACCACTTATAGACTACAAGTAAATAAAAGAAAATCAATTAGATTTCATTAAAAAAAACATAGATATTAATACTTCCAACATATTATTAATTCGCAAAACACACATGTTGAATGTATACATATATTTAGCTTTTAAAGAATTGAATAATATTATTATATATTATATATATAATAATATAAATATATATATATTACTATTGTATGTGTAATAGGATTTTAATTTATAGTAATTATAATTTATGAGTTATGACCATAATTGATATAAACCTAATATATTATATTGTTTGAATACTTCAATTTATCGATAAATATTAGAATATTAATGATAGCTAGTTTAGTATACGAGAAAATCGTTACCTGGGGCATTGTTAAATGTCTATATATTACTGTAGGTATCAGCTAAACTGAAATTTTAAATTTAATAAACTTCTTGAACTCGTGCTATTCCCGTTCAAAATAATATCATTGAAATGAAACTGAGAACTAACAAATGATTTATACACAGCACTAGACATTATAGTAGTATATACTATACAAAACTAATTATTGTGTAATGAGTTGTAATATTGTTAAATGTTAATACATTTGAAGTTCGTTATGTCTGGTACAAATTATAATATAGTATTTCTTGATGACTATAATTTATGTTTATATTATATAGTACATGATATTATATTAATATTTTATCATCTAATATATGTAAAAAATAATAATTTTATTGAACAATATTGTCAATTGAGATATTTTACTTATTGTATTTAAAAATAGCAAGAGCGTTTCACTAAAAATACAATTATAATGGATAAGTAGTAGATTTATATGTCTATAGATACTTAATCGAACGTCGAAAAAGTTTGGAAATAAAAATCAAAAATCACAAAATACACATGGATTACAACAGTATCTTATTAATTTAAAAACGTGAACAAAAAACATAAAGAATCTAACAAAATTTAAAAAAAATATTAAGTAAAACATTATGTAGCGATACTTTTTCGTTAGCAACATCTCATAACTATAGTACCTAAGCATTAGTCATATTAAGTAATTTAATAAATTACAGCATGAAATATAATAAATCTGATTGTTGCATTTTCGTATTTTTGATCAATATTGAAAGAGTCAAACAAATCCTTATCAATTTATTCGATTTTCTGAACTTGACTTGTCATTAATAAAACGCATTTATACAAACACTGGATTCAATTTGTCTATTTTCATATCAGTTTCACCACATTTAATAAAAAGTATTATTAAATGCAAATCTAGTTAACCTTCACTCTTCAGTCTTCAGTAATACTAATGCACTCATATGCACACAAATGATATTTACAATGTAAAAAGTGCCATCACGAAGTACGACGAAATTTGATCATTTTTGATGGTTTATAAATTTGAATAATAAATTAAGAAACGTAATCAAGATAACAAATTGTAATAGATATATATGGTATAAAGTCGAAACATTATATTATTATGTCACCATAATATACATAGCTATACATAGCTATACATAGCTACGTCTATTATTTATAAATAGTATACATTATGATGAAATATCTATATTTTGTATGCATATAATTGTACATTTTTGTATTTATGAAGACATAATTTAAATTATTTAAGTTTGACATTCAATTATAAAACAACGGCCTTCGTGTATTTGCGTCTAAATGAAAGAATAATTTCGTAAAACATATTATAACCTTTTATACATACGCATGATGAGCCGTAGTAGTTTGTGTTTCAAATTCATTTCGACTCGTCACCCTATCCTGCACCCGGCTGCTGTGTGTATTATTAATTGTTTGTTTATTTTATTTTTTAGATCTTTGACAAATTGCAGTCACCGTCAACAGTGTCTCTATTTTATTTATTTTCTCTCTCTGTCTCTCTTTCTCTCCAACCCCCCCCCCCAATTTGACTCAGCAGTGACGGCGGCAGCGACCGCTCGTACAAGCGTTTAAGCTGATTAGTTGTTCGGAAAACCGTAAAACCCGTTTATACCTCTCTAAACAAACACAGGGTAAATATCCAGTAATTCGCATTTATTACATTAAAAACAAACACATATTTTGTTTAACATAATGGTTGGCGAACCGTTCGATGGAGAGGGTACACATAAAATATAATATATATAACCATCYAACTCCCTCGGGTTCAATAATATTATATGTATGATGTTGTAACGTTATTGTTTCGTCGTTGTAGTAGCGTTGCTTTTCCGAAGGGCGCAGTATTAAACAACCCTCTTAGTTTTTCACTGCAAGCTCTAAAACCGGGATAGGATTTATTTATTCTATTTTTTTAGCCGTTCGTTTTTCCTCTCTATATATATGTATTAATACATCTACTCTCTTCATTATACGCACGGTGCCGCTGWGTACAATATTTATTTGCCCCCAGACATACGCTCATTTTTACACTCGAAGTATGAGGGTAATAACGTTCCACATCATGTTTATCTATTATACAAACAATAATAATAATAATACCTGTGTAGCTACGCGCCGCCACCGCCGTTGTAGACATTCCGTATATTACATAAAATGTGTATATATACACAAACTGACAAACGTATAAATTCATTGAGTACGAGTACGTCGGATATATATATATATATATATTGTATTTAATTACAGTATTTACTGTTATATTATAGGGTTGGGTAGTGAAAATTTCTGAATCGAAATTAATACCGCATACCAATTACTGTGGAATATTTAACAATCAATTCCGCCGTGTTTATTGAAGGGCAGTGACCGTGGTAGCAGGTATAACATTATTACATGGGAGGAGTTGTAGGCATTTTGCGAGCGGTAGGGCTTTAAAGCTATAAACGCGATTATCGGTTGTTCCTAACCCTCGTCCTAATTATTAAACATCATAAATAGCAGGTGTTAATTATTCATTTTTTTTTTTTTTTTTTCCCAAATTTTTTTTCTATTTTTTGTATTCGACATTAAAAACACGCGTGCTCGACATATACCGAGTACCTAAATATACAATATAATATAATATATAGGCTCGTGCCGTCTACATAATACCATTTAGCGGTGGTCTGCTCGTCTTGAAGGCCTGCTAGATGATTCAATATAAGTGTAACGCTCACGGAGAAACATAATAATAATAATAATAATAATAATATAACGAATTATGTTACGTTTATACATCTATATAATGTAAGATATAATGTAGAAATAACAAAAATATACACCTGTCCTTATATTTTATACTCCTCCACCATACACTGCGTACGCTCGAATCGTAAACGTCGTTCATGAATATTAATAATAACCGACACGAGCGCGCACCATCGACACGTAAACGAAATTAAATATTATGATAATTCTAACGACAAAAACGTCTTTCACATCTATTATAGAAGCGTGTCGACCTGTGTATAATATAATGTATATGCACACCATGCAGACGTGTTGTTTTGAAACGATCACCTCATGTTTAATTTTTATTACGTATATATTGGATTACCTATATTAATATATATTATTAAAATGTTGACCTATTTGGTGACCAGCGGGTGGTTTACGTGATAGGAAATAGTAAATATATAGGTATTACGAGTGTAGACTACCTACCTATAGGTAATATTATAAGCATCACAGCCAACTTAATTAATATTTTGACACCTGCGTTTAAACGTTGTAATGTACTAGCGTGAATGAAAAAGAACAATAATAACGATTCTCAATATCGCTTAAATAGTTAAATAATATTTTGTATAACTTTAAAATAATTACTTATCAATAACAAAATATGTATTGTGTATCTAGCATTATTTCACTATTTATGTAGGTATTGATATTTTGAGTAATGATTTTTTTTTCCACTTAAATATCGTATATTCGTATATTCGTATATTATATTTACAGTCGTCTCGATAACCTAGATTTTTTCTCG